GTCTCATGTACCATGGCTCTGCTGATAGATGCAAATCATGCACCATGGCTCTTCTGGTAGATGCAAATCATGCACCATGGCTCTTCTGGTAGATGCATGTCTCATGTACCATGTCGCTGCTTCATTTTCTGTATCTTAGTCATTTTGTAAATTTCCAAAGGTAACCTGGATGCCTAAATAACTGATTTAACTGGTGTAATAAATCATCTGCCTAAACATGCATATTTCTGCTGAATGAAAGTCTATCAACAATGATGAACCACCCTCCTGAGATCCCAGAATTATCTATGGAGTGTTAGATTGTGTCTAAATTGTGATGCAAATTTTCAAAATAGGTGTTCATAAGAACTTTTACGGATTGCATAGTTTTCACTATGAGATGTATCATAATACAATGTTGCCTACTTAATTCGTTATAGTTGTGTGTTATTTTGAATATGGATCATACTTGAACATTATGTTAATGAACTACTACGATATAATCTGTAATCTATTATGTCAGGGTTGGAATATAATGTTTTGATTCTGTGTAGATGGTAGTTTGCTGATGATCACACTCATTACATTTAATCTGTGACTAATTTATTATAAAACTTAATGTTTGTGTGATCATAGTATTCAACACACTAATCCTCAATGTAGATTAGCAATATTGTCAGTTGCCAACTTGATGTTTGGGGAATTTAGAATAGATATACCAGTGAATGTGAAACCAGTATTAGTAATCAAGCATAGTTACCGTAGTTGGTGGTCTGCAATGAGCCCAACTATGTGTATTGTATGTATATTTTGTGTTGAAATATAATTTTTCAGAATCATTAGCAAATTTATGCTAACATTGCATGATGTTTAATCATGACAATTACTTTCCATATCAGTAGTGGTATTGAATATAACTAAACATTACAACTGATAATAGGTTCCAATGATAATTTGTTTACCATACATCCAATATGTCCCAGTGTAAGCACCATGATCGATTTAGATAAGATCTGTTTGGCTATCTAGCATTTTTCATTTTTTTAGTTATATTTTTTTTTAATTGATTTCAAGCATTTTCTCTATTTTATTTATTTTTTTCCAATTAAACTGATTAAAAACATCAATTAAAAAAATAGCAATTTAAACGAATAATTTGTTATAATATAGAGAAAATGCTAGATAGCCAAGACAAAAATCTTATTTTTATCAGGTTTGCTTCATGGTTTAGATAATATTAAGTGTTATGTAGTTTCTGAAGATGTTTAAACATGATATAGATAATTTTTAGAAAAAAGTTCTAGACTATATCTTACAGCCAATTGATTTCGATTTTTGTTCCTTACTTTTCTTGACGACTGTCTGAAATAAAACTGTTTGTAAATCTTAGTATTTTACAAAGTGTCGTGTAATGCATTTAGACTTTAACACAAAAAGTGCTTGCCACTAAAAGAAAACCTATGTGACCCAATGAGTATCATATAATTGCATTTATTTACATTGTGAAGAAATTTGTATTATGGTAAAAGCTTTTGATCAACTGTATTCATTTGGCAGCATTTAGTCCCAATAGCACTATCCTTTTTTACTCCCGTGTGCGAAGCACAAAAAGGGAGTCTTTGCAGTTAGTGTGTCTGTATGTGTATGTGTGTGTGTGTGTGTGTGTGTCCGCCTGTTCCACTGATATCTCAAGAACCATACATCAGTTTTTGATGAAACTTGGTGCATATATGCCCTGGGCCAATGCGCAGATTTGATTAGGTTTTGGTAAAAATCCATGCATATTAATTACCTAATTTGCATGATAATTAGCTGATTTTTAGCTCTTCCACTGATATCTAAAGAACCACTCATTGGATTTTGATGAAACTTGGCACACAGATGCTCCAAACTAATGTGCAGATTTGATTAGTTTTGGGTAAAAATCTGTCCAATATTAATTACCTAATTTGCATA